CGAGAAGTCTTGCTGCAGCGAGGTTGTTCTTGTCATTTTCCATGGGGGAAGTCGTGCTGTAGCGAGGTCTTTGAGAAGGCGATGGCTCTCGCCATGGAGGGCCAGGAGGATGGGGGTTGGGGGGTCCGATGTGATGCGAGTGGATGGGAGGGCCGTTTTTGTTTGCTTCTTTTTTTTTGCATTTCCCGCGAGAACGACAGTTTCTCTGAGAGGAGCTGAAACCACCGACATCGTTTGCGATATTTCTTTCTTTTGGGGATCAATTGTTTCGATTATTTTGCATGAGCTTTGCTGCGCCGACACTTCGCTGTTGTCAAACCGCCACGCCAGCAACTTTGTTGCGAGCAGGTTTGAGCTCTGTCACTCATTTGTGTGAACCCGGCTCCGTGAACTCGACAGCGCGCCGTCCGCTCGCTGGAACTGAACTCGGCGATCCTGAGATGGCTTCTTCCCTTGACAAGGATCGCCTTTCTTTCCGGACCCATGCACGTGCCCGTGCTGGGGTGCTTGAATGTGTGGCCTAAACCTTGGGAATCATGGCTTGAGCAGGGGCACGAGCTCACGGATTGACACGCACACACAAACACACACAAACACACACAAACACACACAAACACACACAAACACACACAAACACAAAACACAACACCAACACACAACACCCACAACAGCTTCGCTTTGTGGCATAGAGGACCTCGGGGAGTTGGAGATTTTCCTGCGCGACAAGGGCGGCTCTGAGGTGGGGATGCGCGATGCGCGGCATCTTCTTCACGGGGCGGCCTGGTTGGACGGAAGGGCGATGGCATATCCATGTGTTTTTTTCTTTTTTTCTCCGGGGAGCCTTTTTAGGTCACATGCGAAATGGGCTTGGGGACCTTAATTCGGCACATGGGTACATGGCTGATCCATGGCCACCTCGCAGGGTCTGCTCCAAACTTGTTTGGGCTCTACAGTTTGCCCCTTGCGAGGGCGGGGTTTTTCCGAGGGCACCCTTTTGGTGGGGAAGGACGCAGGGAGGGGGGCTGAAAAAGATGGTGTCGTGCCTTGTGCTGAAGCAAGTAAATCTCCAAGCTTTGGATTTGAGAGGAAGATCATGTGACGCATGTCAGGTGGTGCTCCAGATGAGTGGCGCCACATTCCGTGACACAGATGGGGCTGTTGGAGGCAGGAGCGCCGGGCCTTGGTGCAGTCAGTGGTGCAAGCGCCTTTGCCCCAGTGATTGATTATGGCCCGCCTGAAGGGAGATTTGAAGGAGGATGTGCAAACCGTGGCAGTCAAAAAAGACTTTTAAAGGTGGTCGGCCCCATCAAATTGAAACTTAGGGGCAGGTTGAGCGATCAACTTTACCCTGATAAGGCAGCAAGCTGAATTACTGTACCAGACAGTGATGTGGCGGGATGTCCGGAGGGAGCTTCGCTTGCAGTGCCATTCGTTCTAGATGCACTGAGCCAGCGAAGGGGCCACGAAGGGCCCACGATTCCATGTCATCAGTGTTGTCCTGCGGTTGTTGCCAGCATGGTTCTCGCGTCAGGCGTTGTTGCCTGCGGCCAAGACCTGACGAGCATCAGGCGCGCAGTTGCGCGGGGGGGTAGCGCTGCAACACTCAGTACTCCAAGGATGGACACGCCATGAAGGGAATGACCCCGACCCGAAGCCTTCACCATGACTTAGCACCATACTGGCAAACATGGCAGCTCCCGGCCCCTTTGAAAGACTTGGCTCCATTTGCGAGGATCGCCTGAAGTGAATAGGACAGACGAGCCTGATGGAGGAAGCACATGTTGGAATCGCCCAGTCCAGACCCGATTTGCCGTGCGGACTGCTTGTGCATGGCAGAGGACCTCAAGCAGGTTCGTGCCCCTTCTCAGTCACAATCGATCCAAACATCGCAGCATGTGCCAAAGCAGGCCTTTCATCATCCAAGTATTTTGGCACACTCAGCCTTTCGAGGGAGTCATCCAACAGTTGTCCCTGCATTTTGTGCAGCGCACGCGGTTCGGCCGCAGTGGCGGATCCCCGCTTCCGCCAGGAAGATCATGATGGACAGGGCTCTGGTGATCGAAGATCTGCAGAGGCGTCGCAAGGGTACATGGGATACGAGCATCGGTCAAAATTTGGGAGGGACATGTGAGGCTCAAGGGGAAGGCTACTTGTTTGATTTGTCCAACCCCCCCTGCCAAAAGAGGATGGATGTTTGTTCAATCTATCATGTCCAGACCACACATTGAGCAAAGCAGTTGTGCCGGAGGCTCATTGACACCGCCAACGCCCCGATCTTCAGCGTGGACCGGGAGGGCAGGGTGAATGAATGGAACAAGCAGGTCGCCGGGCCCTCGGTCCCAAAGTGTATCTGGAGCAAGGGTAGGGATTTTCTTGGAGGAGGCTTATCACTGGGAGGAGGCCTCCCTTCAGGTTCCTTTCAAAGTGCCCTTTGATGCTTTATGGGGGCTGCACCAGGTCCGAACCTGGCAGGCAATTCAAGTAGTCGCCATTTGAGACATGAGCCCCGTCCAACATAGAGCGTGGACAAAAGGGCGGCCAAATCTGTTCTGGACTCGGCGTGATTTCTATCTCCAGCAAGTTGTCTGCTTTGCCCCAGGCTCAGATTTCCGGCGTGAGCAAGCAGGACGGCCCATGCTCGTTATCAGGTGGCGCGGGGCCCTTTATGCCTGTAATAGGCAAGCCCAAGTTCTCATTTTGGGATTCTTTCAATCGTGTCATCGACATCATTTGGATGGCTTCACAGACAGTAGCACAGCAGATGCTGCGCAAAGTTCACATGCCGAGTGGAGCTTTGGACCAGGCCCCTGGGGTCCATGGAGATGTCCTCGTGCTGCGCTGTCGACAGAACGTCACCTTCCCTTCAGGGAACCTTTTCGTTCCACGTGGTGCTTTCACCCAGGACGCCATGGGTAAACCTCTTGTGCCCTGCTTCATCAGCGCAGACTTTCAGAAGGAGCTGGGCTGGTGCTGGGGGTCAGTTTTGTTACCTTCCTGGACTCAAGGAGTTGTTGGGGATCAGGGCTCCCCTTGATTTGGAAGTGCCAACGGGGCTCACTTGTTTGCATGGCTGCGTGTTGGCGTGACCCCATAGGCCTTGTAGTTTTCCATTGAACCTACAAAGGTTTAGGCCATTTGCTCCGGGGGAAGAGCAACCCAGTTTGGGTCCACCTGTAGGAAGTGCATCATGTTTGGGCTCAGGTCAGTTTGCAGCATGATTCGCGATGGGGAGCGCAAGGGCGCGTTGAGAAAGCAGCCCGCGGTGAACGGAACTCGCATTCGCCCAAGGACTTTTGGCAAGGGAAGAGATGGATGGGAAGGTGAATTCACATCGGCTTCTGCAAGAGCACCTGAAGAAAGACACGTGCACGCAAAGCATGGATGCCCCCTATCTTCCCCCCTCATTGGTTCCTACTTGCGCCTTTCTTTTAAGTCTGTGTAACATTTCCTCCGTCACACCCAGATGCTGGTGTGCATGGCCTGTTCTACGCGCGTATGGGTGCGAGACCCAGGGCATGTTGTGAGGACGTGGAGGGGGTGCTGCAGCAGGCGCTCGAGGGAAGCCAGGCCCGCAGGGTCGGGCTTCATCCCAGCCGCTGGATGTTCACGCTACATAGGGTTTTGCAGGATGGTCTTGTCGCTCCTGACTCACATGGCGCGTAGGTTGCAAGATATGTTGTCGGTGGTGCTGGCAAGCTCGATCATCTTGGAGGAGCTTCTCTCACAATCGTCCCTCTGCCGGCTCGTGGTGATGGTTTGCCACGGGGTAAACCGCGCAATTTGTATGGGGAGCAATGCCAGTGGGAAAGGTTCGTTAAGTCAGGCGCAACATCTTTTGCATTCGGGTGCACTTGGGCACAAGCGTGTGCACCACTCAGCAACCTCATCTCCAAATTCAGTGGAAGTAAGGAATTTTAAGCATGCGTTGCATGCCCCACAATGCCATATGATAGGCGGAGCCGTCACATCCAAAAGACTTCAGAGCGCCGTGTCTGCCCAAGTCTCCTCAAAGGACGTGTTGGTCCTTGCCTTAAAGCTGCCAAGCCATGCCCCCTTGTCCGACAAAATGGGTCCGGCAGGCCTTCCGCTTTTCCCCTTTTTGATGGTTTGAAGCATCACCTTTGGGGCCAATTCAGAGTGAGCTTCCTTTTGGTGGCGTGATCTTTGTTTATTTTCAAGAGGAACATAGGGCGACTTTGCTGGCACAGTGGCCGCCAATCTGTGTTTGGAGTTTGCCTGCTCAAGCATTTTCGAGTCGCAGGTCACAAACTTTGAGTTTGAGCTCGGGAACGGCGATGCCTGGGCGTCAGAGAGCTGATGAAAAAGCACCCATGATTTGCCACAGTTTTCGAGGGCTCTCCCTTGGAACCGGGGTTGAACAAAAACCGCAGCCCGCAGCCTCGTGCTGGGTGCAGTAAAGACACCGTGACGATACCCGAGTATTTCTGCATGTCCCGGGTCCGAAGCCGCCGAAGCCGTGGGGTGAGCTGCGTTCGCCTGCCCATCTCTCGGGCGAGGCGCTTGGCGCGGAACAGACAGACTAGCAAGCATCCCGCAAACAGAAACGTATGATTTATGCTTTCCATTTCATTTGGTGGGGTGGGCGACTTCTTTTCAGCCATGCGGGAATTGTTGAATTGCTGAAGATTCCCTTTATCTGATTCATCCAGAAAATGGCCCGTTGGCCAGTTGATGAGAGTCACAGCCAATGTCCTTATTCCCCTTTAATTATCTAAGGCACCCTCATTTCACTCGTGGAGTGCAGTCGGAGGGGTGGTGGGTCCTGTGCGGCTTGCTGAGTGCCGCCGCATCCTGCTGAATGCCACCGCGCGCGTGGATGAGCAGGGCGAGGCGATCGAGGGGTTTGGATGTGTGGTGGGGCTCCGCTCTTGGGGGCTGCCAGCGGAAGCTTGGGAGAATGCTGGAGGCATCGGCTAACGATCCTATTCTGCCGACGTCGCGTCTCAAATCATGATTTTTGGGGCACCCCTTGGGGATCG